AGCTTGGTGTCGTGGGGGCCAAAGGCTCGATTCGTACGCATACGGGGATCCTGCTTGCAGCAGTGGGACAGACCCCTTGCGGCTGTAAGAGTCATGGGACCAGGCGTGGTGATCGTGCCTGAAACAGCGCAATCAACACCTCCTGGCAATATTGCGCGACAGGGATAGAAGGCGGGACTCTGCGTGTGGCTCTGCGATACCTCTCTACGACTGCCATCGTTACTATTACTGCCGCTCGACTTACGGCACCAGGTGTTGGCTCAATTAAGGACGACTGTGCGCCCGGCTGCCGTTGTCGTTTGTGTGGCCACTTGCCCCCAAGTTCGCGGTAGGGAAAAATTTTTCCTCTTGCCTGGGTGTACGCCGGGGATTGGCATGGTGCGTCCTATACAAGCGTGTGCATGTATGTGCGGGCAAGTTCTGGCAAGGCCATTTCCCTCAATGTTTTCTGCGGAGACCGAGTCTCGTTCGAACAAGCGTTTGCATTTCCAACACGATTTGTTTTGTTCAACATGTAACGGCGGAATGTGTTCGTTGCCGCTCTTGGTTGTTGACGGCGAGGCCTTACCACGTGTCTGACTCTCGTCCTGTACGGTACGCTCGTGGTGTTTTTTTGTCTTCATCGCACTTGATCGTATGCATAGCATCATTTCTTCTTCTATGCTGTGTGGAAGATATGCACATTACACCGCCTGTGCCCGTAGCCACGCGGAATGCACGCCCGAAGTTGAACCGTTTCCAGCATCACAAAGCTCATCCAATCTCTTCGACGCTTATGCGCCGATGCTGCGGGGTTTTCCACAGATGGCGGCGGCGTTGTCGGGCGGAGGGATCACGAGCAAGGTGGACGTGACCTGCCTCAACTTCTTCCTCAGGGAGTCTCACTTTGCAAGAAAAGCTCGCTTAAGCCGGGATTCGAACCCCTGACCTGACCTCTAGAAGGATTCGAGGATAATACCAACTAGACCACCGGGGCGACTGGCACGTGTATGCCCCCTGAATGTTGTGTTGCTGCTGCATCTGCTGCTACTGTTACTGATGCAGTTGTTGCTTTTGCTGTGGGTGTTGCCGTCCTTTTTGATGCAGGTTAAATGCGACGGGGCTCCGCCCTGCCGACACTGTCAGAGTAGATAGATGAGTTCACCTTCAGCCCGTGCGCCCGTTCTNCCCTTTTTTTGTTTTGTTTCCCCGCGGCGTCGTATTGCCGGGTTTTGAGACCACGGGCTCCCCATTTTTTGTGGACTATAGAGCTAATGTGAGAAACAACAACAACAACAACCTTAGTGCTGTTTTGAAACTTCAACGAGACCCACGAGGCGTCCCGTTACGACGAGAATGTCCAAGTTGGCACTTTTGCAGAATAGACCTGCTTGCCACGCCACAAATGGTGCTCCGCATGAGCAAAAAAAACACCACACAGTCTCTACCTTCCCCCGCCCGCCCCCACTTTCTGTCTCCGTTGCACTCTGTCTCCTTGAAGGGTTGTTTTCGTCGAGCACCTCCAACCGAGCACACCGTGTTAATCTATTCTGTCAACGCCCACGTCGTTCCACGGTAGTAACCGGCGGCGAAAATCCCGTGTACCATAGCCACCGTGGGAGCGACCCCCCCCCACACACACACACACACACGCCACCTCCCTCTCTCGTGACGGTTTCCAGAAAGGTACCCCCACCAAACGTGGCGAATCCGATACCTGGGGTAGGCGTTTCGCAGAGCGGTGGCGGTGGCAGCGGCAGCGGCGGTCGGGGGTGCGGGGCCACCCCCCTCGGGACAGGTGCGCCACCTGTGTAGCGGGAAAGGGGAGCGTCGCTGTGCATGGAGAAATGATTTGTTTTCGGTCTTGAGAATTGATGTGCTGATATTAAGACGAGTTGTGCGCAATTGAAGAAACAACGTGTGCGTTTTAGTTTGTTTAGGGCTGGGTTTGTAAGCTTGGTGTCGTGGGGGCCAAAGGCTCGATTCGTACGCATACGGGGATCCTGCTTGCAGCAGTGGGGCAGACCCCTTGCGGCTGTAAGAGTCATGGGACCAGGCGTGGTGAGCGTGCCTGAAACAGCGCAATCAACACCTCTTCGCAACATTGCGCGACAGGGATAGAAGACGGGACTCTGCGTGTGGCTCTGCGACACCTCTCTACGACTGCCATTGTTACTATTAATGCCGCTCGACTTAAGGCACCAGGTGTTGGCTCAATTGAGGACGACTGTGCGCCCGGCTGCCGTTGTTGTTTGTGTGGCCACTTGCCCCCAAGTTCGCGGTAGGGAAAACTTTCCCCTCTTGCCTGGGTGCACGCCGGGGATTGGCATCGTGCGTCCCATATAAGCGTGTGCACGTATGTGCGGGCAAGTTCTGGCAAGGCCATTTCTCTCAATGTTTTCCGCGGAGACCGAGTCTCGTTCGAACAAGCGTTTGCATTCCCAACACGATTTGTTTTGTTCAACATTTAACGGCGGAATGTGTTCGTTGCCGCGCTTGGTTGTTGACGGCGAGGCCTTACCACGTGTCTGACTCTCGTCCTGTACGGTACGCTCGTGGTGTTTTTTTGTTTTTTTGTCTTCATCGCACTTGATCGTATGCATAGCATTATTTCTTCTATGCTGTGTGGAAGATATGCACATTACACCGCCTGTGCCCGTAGCCACGCGGAATGCACGCCCGAACTTGAACCGTTTCCAACATCACAAAGCTTACCCCATCTCTTGGGCGCTTATGCGCCGATGCTGCTGGGTTTTCCACAGATGGCAGCGGCGTTGTCGGGCGAAGGGATCACGAGCAAGGTGGACGTGACCTGCCTCAACTTCTTCCTCAGGGAGCTCAACGCGGTGAGTTGGCGCAGCGGTGGCTATTTCTTTTGGGCACTGCAACGCGGGGGGCGGGGGTACACGATTATGAAGTAAGCATCACAAGGCACATTGGAGATCGGGCTGGAAGTATCGTGCCCCGAGTGCCCCGGTAACTTATGACACGCCTGTCCCTGAGCCTGTCCACAAGCGGGTGTTCGGATCACTAGTAGTCGTCCAGGCTGCTGGCGACTGTAGCGGTGGAGGCATGGTGGTCGAGATAGCAGAAAGTGTGCAGCTCAGCGCCAAGACGTGTGCACGTTGGAGGGTAGCGTGGAAATACCGCGCCCTTCTCAAAGCGTAGGTATACAGCTTAGTCCCGTAGAGTAACTGCACGTCCAAACCTATCACATTGTTGACCAATCGGATCTGAGTGTTTACGTCTCGCTCAGTGCCTCCTACGGCATCAGCAGTTGTCGACGTCATCATCATCATCCCCACGACGGCCACCACCATCACAATCGTCGACGTCGTGAAAACTCGACACCGGAACTCACCTGGCTTCGCCGAATCCTGTGCGTTGTGTCACATTTGTCGAGTTTTTGCAAGGAGGCTTTGTTCTACTGGCGACGGCGCAAAACTTGCTATTTGGTTGTTTCGATGGTGCTTATTTTGTTTTGTTCGCCATCTCCTTCCTTCCCAGTTCGTCCCGCTGACGACGCGAGGCATCTTGAGGGACGCTCTTAACCCTATGCCGGCGGCCCTGACGGAACGATTATTCCACGGAGACGAGGAGTATAGAAGACAGGTGACACGTGCTTCTGGTAATTGGTTGTGGCCTCAGCACAAGTACAGATAGTGCCGGTCCTGATGAACTGCAACCTTGAGAACAGCTATTCTAGTCAAAGATTACGAAAATGACTTGGGCACCGCTTGTGGGCCCAGTCAAGACAGTTTGCGAGTCCGGTTGAGAACCCCTATGTTACAATCCGAATTGTATAGCAGCCACTGTTTACAAGAGCAAGTAGGACCAGCCTCGGCCACAACTACTAGTAGAGGTGGTGGGCGCTACTTGTAGCTGTAGGTTTGTGCTGCTGTCTATGTTGTTGTCTTTTGTTGGTTGGGTGTATGTTTTTGCTTCACTTTTTGCGAAGCTTTGTTTGCGAAATTGGCGCTAGCATTTCTACCCTCGGCGTTTAGGAGATCATATATTTTTTTTTTTTCCGTCGTTTGGGAGATTTGGTTGTTGGTTGTGTCTATTTAGAGATGTGCTTTTCGTGCTTGCCGCCAGAGCAGGAGTTCGCTGGTTCTGTTTCCCCTTGGTTCGTGTCAGTTCTCGTGCTGTTGATGGCCACGGTCAAAATGCTTGGGATGTGACCAACGATCGCTACTGTTCCGAACGCACAGAGAGCGCTACGTGCACCGTTTGTGTTTTCGACCAAACTCCCGGCTCACTCAACATAACCCTGAATGAACTCCGCACATCACACACGGGGTTGATTGCGTTTCGGCGCTGTTGTTTTGTTCAGAACGCTCGGGTGGCCGTGATCCAAAGCTGCATCACCATCGGCGCGTTGCTCAAGGGGCACGCACAGGTAGGCTTCGTTCGACCTACCACCCTTCACGGCAAACGTTTTGAAACACCTTCAATTTGCACCACCTTCTTCTCTGTTTTCGTCCACGTTTGTTTGTGAGCATACCGGAGGGAATCATGTCTACTCGAAGAGGCTGGGGTGCCCAAATGAAAGCTCCTGTTTTCGGCATCTTCTTGCCACATGTTTGTGTTTTTTCAGACAGAGGAGTGCTCTCTGCCTGCACCATGCGCAAAGCAGATGGAGCAAAAGGCGTCCGAAAGAACCATGGAGCACTCAAAGTTATGAGGAAAGCTGCGGTGGTATCTCACAACCCTCCCCTCCCCCAGGTGGTAGGATACCTGCGCAACGTGCTGGAGGCCCTGACCAACTCCTTCGACTTCGTCAGCTCCGAGACGATGAGCGCCTACATGGTGACGGCCTACTGCCACGATCTCATGGGAAACGCGGCGGCTATAGGTAAGCGATCGAGTTACCGATCCCCGCGTGTGCGCCGATGTCGGTGGCAGGTGGCGTTGGTGTACGGAAAAAAAAAAAGTAGAGTTTAGATCCCCTTGCGGCAAACTCTAGGAGGGGGGGCTGCCCTTCTTCTCGACACCACTGCCGAAAAAAACTTTCGCGTGGGAAAGTCCGTTCTCTTGACAACCCCCCCCGTCCCCTGACTATACCCAAGAGGGCACGTGCAGCGGGAGTTCTGACGTCTTGCCATCCCCCCGCCCAGATGTTTCTCCCTTCATTATTCCAGTTTGGCATGGGGGCTCATACTGTATACTGGGGCTTAATGTGGTATTAGTAAGAACTCTTGCTACTTTTGTTGTAGGCTTTCGTATCACACTTTTTTAACCGATACAGCATTTGGTTTGGGCATGTGCCAAATCGGTATGGTCTTTGTTGTGTAGGGTTTAGTGTATGAATTCAGAAGCCCATATTGTACAGACGTGTAAAGTTTTAGTGATTGTCTGAATCCCACCAGCTTATATCAAAGCACACATGTGATGCGCAGGTTTAACGAAATATCACACTAAGTCCTACTTTGTACAATGCAAGATACACGTTTGTATATAGCATATCGCACTACATCCTACCACACGATACCACCCCCCGCCGGTGTTTGCCATCGGGGTTGGGTTTTCGTCGCTTGGTAACGACGTTGTAAAACAAGCCAATATACTTCGTGAACTCGGCAACCAGGTTACTGTTGCTTTTTTTTACCTCTGTTGTTGTTTGGCGGTAACCATAATGGTGGTCGAGTGGATCATGTTTTGGGGTGGAGAAGCCTCACTCCGCGCAAGGGGGATGATCGCACTACGTTGTGTTAAGATGGTCTGGCACCCTCGAGGCAGTTTACACATTGCTTACAACTGTCTCAGGAAGTGAAAGCACCAGAATATATATTCAGTCATACGCAGCTGTCATCCGTACGCAAGGAAGTAAGCACAAGATGCCGAACATCCTTAGCAGGATGCAGCGCACCCTTCATGCGACTCGCCGAANCCCCCCCCCCCCCCGGCCCTGATTTGTCCTTAATCCAGCTTCCCGGTTTTAGGCTGATTCTTGTTAACATCTGGACTCCTAATCCAAAAGACATCACTTTCCAGGATCGGCAAAATTCCGGTTGGAAAAAAGTCCGGCTGTTCTTACAGTGAACCGGATTTGTCAGGCAGATTCTTGGGGGTTGGATGTGGATCAAGCCCAGACGACATGATCGGCAAGTGCGACCTGAGTTGTTGACGTATCGCTCCCATCAAGGGCTCCGAGCAGCCCTTAGCTGAAGAGTTTGCCAATCTGCACGCTGTTTGGTGATGGTCGCTCGGCACGCGTGCGTAAAAGAAACATATCGCATCACACCAAACATGGAGACGCCGAAACAGGCCAGAACGCCACGAGACAGCAAAAAAAGCCGCTGTTTGTCAAGAGATGAGAGGACACCGCAACTGATTTCTCGCTCCCTAGGCCACCGATCGAAGCCAGACCGGCCAGGATGTGCCTTCTGTTCCTTGCTCTCTGCCGTAGTAGGTTTGCTGAGCAGCTGGAGTATACGCCAAGTAGATGGAGGGAAGGGGTGGTTGTGAACTTGTTTAAGAAAGGAGACAAGACTGACCCAGGAAACAACAGGGGGATCACACTGTTGAATACAGTAGGAAAAGTGTTCTGTAAGCTGCTGAACGATAGGATAGTGGGAGTATTGGAGAAGGAACATAGCATTAGTGAGGGCCAGGCAGGTTTCCGAAAGGAGAGGGGGTGCGTAGACCACGTGTTCACGGTAGGGAGAATCATCCAAGGTAGAAAGAGGGCGGGAAAGCCGACGTACACGTCAACAACTCAGGTCGCACTCGCCGATTATGTCGGGTGGGTTCACCAGCGGTGACTTTTTGGGATAGGAAATCCGGCTGGGCACCATCCTGGATTCTGCCCAACTTTGTGGGTGAACGCAACACGGATTCCTGATGCTGGATTATGATGACCGGAAAAAGTGACAAATCCGCCTGTATAAGCAGGCTTTTGCCGATCCTGGATTTCTATGTTTTTTGGCTTAGGAATCCACATGTATAAGAATCAGCCTTACTGCCCCGCCCGGGTCGGTCCTCAATCCACTTTCCCGCTTTTGGTGCTGGCCGTCAGACACGTGCCCTCGGCCTTACGACCTCTTCGTTTCTGACGCTGCATCCGGGACCCCTGTTTCCCTTTGTCGGCGCTGGTCGGTAGCAACTACATGGAGTTCGCGGAGGCGGTGGCGACGCAACTCCCGCAGGTGACGGTGGACCACGAGCTGGTGTTTCAGTTCTACCGCGTGTGCTCGGAGGTGCACAACTGCACCCTGTCGGCTACACCCAAGCTCCTCCAGCACGCGGGCGCGGCGGCTCCTTGCTACCAGGCGCGCTCTCTGGAAAGTGTCCGATTCATGGTGTGTGTGTTTTTCTTTCCGACATCGACCGCGCTAACCGGCTTTGTGTGTGTCTGCGCTTATTTTTCTGTTTTGCCGGCGGTATAGTAGACGCGATGTACTGAGTTATGGGCAAGCAACATTGCACTTACATGTATGCCCTTGACAGGTGCTCAACGTGCTGACATACGCCTTGTACGACCTGGCCCATCTTGCCGCGGAGGAACTCACCAACACCATTTCCAAGGCGCAGGCGAGTACGATGGCCTTTGCGGTTACTGAAGCTGCTGCCGCTGCTGCTGTTGTTGCCGTAGCTGTTCTATACACCAAACGATGTTTTGCTTGGACGTACGGCTAACTCATGGTAAAGTTCTCGGCGTGAGCGAGACAATACAAGAGGCGGGGACGGAGCTATAGGTTGCAGTTTGCGACGTACTTGCCGACGGAGCGCAAAATCCCGTTTTTTTCATGGCGATAAGGAGCCCGTCACTTGGCACCCCGGCAGATTTGGTTCGATTGTTGCTGTTCGTGTCCAATGTCGTTCACGCGGTGACGGTGGAGTTGAGCCCCCTGTCCCGACCCTGGCGATATGAACCGTCATTACTCTGTAGTCTTGCTGCTGTGCCGGAACACACGCCCCCACTCCCCCGCCCCCTGCCCGCCCCCACAGTTGGCACTTTTACGGTTACCGTAAAGGTCACCTTGTGGTTTTCTGATTTATTTTGGTTCCAAGTTTGGATCGACGAGACAGCGGTATCACTGTTTGGTTCTTCCCGCCATACAGGTGATGGCGGAGTTGAACTCCCTCTTGCCGATCCTGACACGTGCTGACGGCATGAGCCGGGACAACTCGTCCTCGTTCGGAACTCTCGGCGTCGTGCTCGTTAAGGGGGTACTGGCCTACATCTTGCTACGTTTGGGTAGGAGCCAAGACGGGCTGGAGGTGTGTGCTGGTGATGATGTTGCCGTTTTGGTAGTGTATTCCGCGCCTGCGGTAAATGCAAGGGGTGTTGGAGTCGCTCGCCTTCCTCCACACCAGCGTCCTCAAGGCCGCCACCTGTACGTGTATTGTTAGCCGTAACATAGTCCTCTTGCGTGAGACTTTTCGTGTTTTGGCGGGGGTGACGGGTGGGATTGTCCGTGTCCACAACGTCGTGGATGCGAAACGGTCTGGGGAACGTTTGGTTTTGTTTGTTGCAGCTCTTGGGTCGCTTGTATTCTCTCCGCATCAAACGTAGGCTTACTTGGTGGATGTCCTCGACGATTGGCTTGGAATACCGGGCGCAGCAATTTCTGCCTTCATCCTAAGAAGAGCGTATGCCGTTTTTGTCGATGTGTCTTGGCGACCCCATTCTTACTCCCGCAAATGACGTATCGAAATATCGTTTTCGTACAGCGACGATAGGGAACGAAAGCTTCAACTCGGTCTGCGCGGAGTGTTTTCATGAGGGCTTGTTTTCGCAAGGGCTGGTTGTTTTGTGGTGTTCTCGTAGTGTGCGACGCGTGCTGGACGCGTTGTTTCGCTGACAAGTGAACCACGAGATAGCCTTGGCCGCAGGTGCTNTATCGCACTATCGTTTTCGTACAGCGACGATAGGGAACGAAAGCTTCAACTCGGTCTGCGCGGAGTGTTTTCATGAGGCCTTATTTTCGCAAGGGCTGGTTGTTTTTGTTGTGTTCTCGTAGTGTGCGACGCGTGTTGGACGCGCTGTTTCGCTGACAAGTGAACCACGAGATAGCCTTGGCAGCAGGTTCTTCGCAAGCTTTCCTTGTCCGAAAACCTGCGCACCATGCTGTGTTCGCGTAGAGCCGTCTACTGTAGCTCCTCGTTCCAAACCTCCACAGCAGACAGTCGTGTTTTTCGCGCAAACCCCCTGACGATTTTCCGTAACTTGTTGATTGCCGTGTCCACGACTGTGCTGTCGCTCTCATCTACTGTTGGTATCGTAGGTATTGGAGCCGGTGGTGGGCATCCTGGCGGAAAACCCGGGGCTCCTGCGGCAGGTCATGTGCTGGCATTTGTCGCACTGCATTCTGGTAAGCCATCACCGGCAGAGCGTGTCGTGTCTGTACAATTCCCTGTCTACCTTGTGTTCCATGGTCGGTGCGGCCGTGAGATTGCTCATCTTGTTGATCATCCCATGTTTTCCATGTCACTTAGCTTGCGCTTACGAAGCTCGAATCGCTATGGGCCGCTCTTGAAGCCTCCCATCGGACTATGCCTGTG